CGCCTCCATTTGGGCACGTCGTTGACCGTCTTTGCGATCGGCGCAAGTCTGGGGCCATTGAGGGCCGCCCGCACAGGCGCTGGAAGTTCTCTGCTAATGAGGGCCCTGAGGACTCCGCTAGTGATCGCCCGGTGCCCCAGGCACGTGCTGGCCTTGAGCGTGACCTTGCATTGTGGCTTCGCGCCCCCCCTCGCCTCTCCCCCACTGCTCCCTCTTTCGCTCCGTGGGGCAGGGGCGGGCTGGCGGCTGCGGGTCCTGATGCGATTGGCGAGCCCGCGTGGGGGGCCCGCGGGGGCCCCAAATGGGCGCCGGTTCGTTTTTTGGGGGGCGGCTCTGGCCTTTTCGGATGGCCCCGGGAGGCGCCGATGCGGTTGGTCTTTTGCAGCGTCATCCCCGACAGAGCTGGCCCGTGGGAAGGCCATGCAGGTGTCTCCTTGGCTTTCTCGAGGGTCGGCGGCAGACGGTGCCCCGCTCTGAGCTGGTGGCCTTGTTGTGTTGCTGTTGAAGAAAGCTCGTGGCCTCTGACTCTACAGGCTTACGCCACATCCGCCGACCCATCTGTGAGTGTTGCGAGGCCAGGAATTTCTGGTAGGGTGCGTAGATACGTAGGGGGTCCAAATGTTTGCGTGATGCCGGTGGAGCTCGTGGCCTCTGATTTCTGTGACCGACCATGGGCCTCTCCTCAGTGGATGGGGGCAGAGTTGGGCTCGGAGGCCTCTCGAGACTCGGGGCTTCTGGGCTCGTCTGCGCAGGGCCTTGGAGCAAGATCCCGGTCGCGACGCGGCCTCGGCGTCGACCCCGTCGCATCAGGATGACGCCCGAGGTCATCACCGACCCTTCTTACGCCTGTGGCAATATTGATGCTGATGCTTGGGCAAGCCGCAGGGCCGCCAAGAATGTGACGTCTGTGTCTGAGCCCGCCCCCCTCATTGATCAGCGGGATACGACCGCTGCCATTGCCCGCGCGCGCGCGAGAGCTATCATTGAAAGCGTGGGCTCGGACAAAGTCTTGAGGGGCGAGGGGGTTGCCGCCCAGCGACAGGCCCCACTCTCCAACCGAGCCCATCGCGTCAAGGCCTCCGCCCACAAGCTGGAGACATGCGCTGACAACTGGCGGCGCGCTACGCGCGCTCTCATCGTCGACGGTGGCCGACCGGGGGGTCTGCTCACGCCCAGTGCCCAGGCCCGCCCCCAACGCCCGTTCCTGCTCAGAGGCCCTTGCTTCGTTTCGGGGAGGCAGTGGTGGTGGAGGCGCGGGGGGGTGCCCAACGGCCAGTCGGCCCACGCCTGACGCGCCCCGGCAGAGGTCCCACGCCGGGGGGTCACGCTGCATGCGTTGCAGCCCTGCCCGCCTGAGCCACTGCCCACGGGGCTGGGTGCGTTAGCGCGCGGGCGCCAGGGCCTGCATCCTTCCAAGAAGGGCCCGTCGAAGGCCATTCTTGAGGCGCGGCGCCTGGGCGCCGCTGCCTCGACGCGGTCTCGGACGGCGCCTGGCGCTCAGGCGGGCCAGGCCCCAGACGCGGCGAATCCCCCGGAGGTCCCGTTGGAGGGATGTCCTGCCAGTTCTGAGGAGGAGTTTGAAGGGGGCTATGTCGTCGGAGCGGGCGGTGGAGCGGGTGGCCCCTCGTCGGCGCCGTCGGAGTCGAGCGCTCTGCGCGCGGCGCGCGCGCGCGCGCGCGCCTGCGCGCGCCGTCTCCGACCCGCACGGCGGCGACCCCCAGGACGGCCCTGGGAGGGGCCCCGCCGCCTCTGCCGACGAATCTCCCCCGTGCGATTCGCCGTCGTTGCGCACTGAGCCCACTTAGTCCTCCTCCTCCTCCTGCTCCTCCTCCTCCTCCTCCTCATCTTTTCCCCGTCCTCGTCGCCCTTCCCCCTCCTCGTCCCCGGCCTCCGCCGCCCCCCCTCTGGGGCACGGGGGACAGTGTAAGCAAAGAAATCCGCGCGTACCTTTGTAAATTTGCGTTTACGGCGATGTTCTTTCATCTGACACAATCCTTCTTCTTTTCCCCCCGACCCTCGATCCTCTTCTTCCTTTCGATCCTTCGATTATTCCCCCTCCTCGTCTTGCTGCTCCCGACCAACCACCGCTGTTGGAGTTGTGGTCCTTGGCCTTTGTGAAGCCCATCGGTTTCGACGCCCATCTCGCGACATCGTCGGTGCGATGCATCCCCCTGGGGGGGGGAGGAACACAGCTTGACCAGTTGTGACCAGTCGGTCGAAAACAATTGAAACCTTCGGAACCGAAGCGGCTCATCGAATCGTTGACGCTTCGCGTATCCCCACCAGCCCGCGCCCTTTTGGCTGCGTCTTCCACGTTCGTTGATGTCCTTGTTCGGCGTGGCGGTCCACCTCCATTCGTTTCCTCTGTCTTCCGTCGTCCTCTATGTGCTCTCGGGGCGTTTCAAGTGCTCTGTGTTCGACAGGTGCGCGGCCGCCGGCCGGTTGGTTCTGTTGTGCTCTTTTGCGCGCTGCCGCTTGCAGTGCTTTTGGCTTCGCCACGGGCGCGGCCCGCCCTAGCACGCTCGGCGTTCGACCCGTTTCGCGCGTCCGCGAACCAAAAAGGCCCCCCACCAGCCCATCCAGAAACAATGCCCAGGGGATCAGTGAAGTGGGGGAGCATGCAGAAGAACAGAAGGCGGGGGAAGCCGCCATATACCCCAAGCGGGGGAGGATGGAACAGGCATCGTTGTCGTTGTCGGCGTCGTCGTCGTCGGAGGACGAGGAGGAGGAAGAAGAAGAAGAGGAGGATAAGGAATTAGACGAGGAGGAGGAGGAGGAGGAGGAGGAGGAGGAGGAGGAGGGGGGAGGAGGAACTAGAGTAGGGCGCGGGCGAGGAGGGCGAAAAGGAGGAGAAGGAGGAAACGGTTGGAGAAATGGGTGCCCTGGGGATTTTTTGAGGCCTCGTATGGGATCTTTTGGGAGCCTCTTGGAGGCCTCTTGGGGCCGTCAGGGCGCCGCTTGGGGCCCTCTTTGGGCGCGGTTGGGAGCTTCACGGGCGCTCTTGGGGCCATCTTGGAGGACATCGATCAAACAAGAGGGGGACTCCAATTTGCCTCCCCCCTTCGGGAGCGCCGAACATCGCCTCCTGGATATATGTTGGAGCGCTGTTGGGGCGCTCGTGGGCGCTCTTGGGGCCGTCCCGGGACCCTCTTGGGCCTCTCCTGGGGCTTTTCTGGGCCATCTTGGAGCCATCTTGAAGTTGTGCATGGCCATCGGAAGCGACAAGGCGAGAAAGCAACAATCATTGATTTTCTTCCGGTTGTCGAAGGATTGGAGCCCTCCTTGGAGGTCTCGGAGGCTTCTTGGAGCCGCCTTGGAACGTTATTTGGGCCTCCTGGGGCATCTTGGGAACCATCTTGAGGCATCGTGCGCTATCTTGAGCCATCTTGGAGCTCGTCTTGGACTCAGGGCCCTCTTTGAGCCGTTTTGGGCAATTTTGGACGACCCTCAAGCCCAGGGGAAGGGGTAGGGGGAGGGGTCAAGCTACCCACCCGCCCGCAAACCGTCTAGCTCACTCCCACACGCCCTCCCAACACGGAGGTAACACCCGAGCCTGAGCACGTTCAGCGGTCGTTTTTGGATGGACAGTTGCTGGAAACCAAAGCCGTCTCAGGTGCGCGACGTTTTAGCGAGGTGCGCCACGCGTGCCAAGGGCTCCACGCGCGCCAGGCACCTTGGGGCCCGAGCGTGCCAGGCACTCCTGGCGCGCCAGATGCGCCACGTGCTCCGAGTGCGCCACGTGCGCCGCGCACTCCAGCCGCGCCAGGTGCGCCACGTGCGGGGCACGTGCATAGTGCGTCAGGTGCGCTTGCGCACGTGACAGCACACATCGGGAAACATGTCGGCCCCGGCATCCTTGTCGAAAACCAATGCTTAATCACTGATCATTGTGTCTGGTGGACCTGCGCACAGCAAGCCACGCGCCACAATCCCCGCCGTCCCTCTCAAAAACCACTTCAGAGTGATCGCGGGATGACCGCGCACGATCCAGATTTAGCCGCGAGGTGCATGTTGTATTGTTTGTTGTCAGGGATGGTAGCCTTGCGCGCAGCAGGGAATATGCTGATACCCCCGCCGTCCTTATCAAAAACAGTACAAAGTGCTCGCGGGCCCCACAAACATGACTCAACATTTTGCCCCAAGGTATACTTTGCATTGTTTTTGTCGGCAGGGATGGTGGGGGGGGGGTGGGGGCTCATCGGGTTGGCCGTGCATGCTCCAAATGTGGAGGCAGAGTGCGTTTTGCATTGTTTCTGACAGGGATTGTGGGGGACGGGCCCGCATGGAGTCCGCATGGTTCTGGGTTGGCCGCCGGCGGGGCGGGTGAGCGGGTGTATACTGATAAGGAGCAGTGATCAAGACACCCCCTGGATAGCGGCTGGAAGAGAGACCGCCCTAGACCACCTACTCCCAGAAGGTTGGTGGATGTCTTCGGCACTGCTCGTCAGATCAAGACACCCCCTAGATAGCGGCTGGCCCTAGACCACCTACGCCCAGAAAGTTGGTGGATGTCTTCGGCACTGCTCGTCAGATCAAGACACCCCCTAGATAGCGGTTGGAAGAGGAACCGCCCTAGACCACTTACGCCCAGAAGGTTGGTGGGAGTCTTCGGCACCGCTCGTCAGATCATGTTCGTCGTCGTCTTCGTCGTCCACCGCGCCAGAGGTTGGAGCCCGTCGTCGTCCACGGCGCCCGAGGTCGCAGCGCAGTCCGTATCGTCGCACGCCGCGCCCGCGTCGCAGCCCGCCGCCGTCGTCGTCGTCGTCGTCGTCGTCGTCGTCGTCGTCGTCGTCGTCGTCGTCGTCGTCGTCGTCGTCGTCCGCCGCGCGTCGTAGTTCCTTGGCGCCGCTCGACCGCGGCGAGCCTCGGGGCTTGCGACGACGCCGACGACCGCGACGACGACGACCACGGCGACGCGGGCGGCGATGACCTCAGCGCAGATCGTCGTCCTCCGCCGCCGCACGGCCGCGCGCGGTGGCGGCGCCGCGCCCGCGCCCGAGGTCGCAGCGGGGCCTCTCGCTGAGCGCGCGCTAGGCGCCGCCGGCGGCGCCGACCCCAGAGGAGCGCTTGCCCCTGCCAGTGAGGAAGGATGAGGATTGAGCGGGGAGGGGGAGGAGGAGGAGGAGGAGGAGGAGGAGGAGGAGGAGGAGGAGGAGGAGGAGGAGGAGACAGTGGGGACGGGGGACGAAGAGAAGGAGGAGGAGCAGGAGAAGGAGCAGGAGCAGGAGCAGGCAGGAGGAGCAGGCAGGAGGAGGAGCAGGAGGAGCAGGAGGCGAAATTTGGCAGGGAGGAGGAGGATGAAGCGGGAAGGTGGGAGGAGAAGGAGGAGGAGGAGGAGGAGGAGGCTCCTCCTTTATCCACTCCCTCCCCTCCTCACCAAGCGTCCTCCTCCTCTTCCTCCTCCTCCCTCGTCCCTCCACCTCATTATTCTCTCTCCCTCCTCTCCCTCAATCCTCCTCGTCCTTCCACCTGCTCCTTCGCCCACTCCCCGCCTCCATGTCATTCCTCTGTCATATCCCTCGTAGAGGAGGAGGAGGAGGAGGAGGAGGAGGAGGAGGAGGTGGAGGGAGGTGGAGGTGGAGGTGGAGGTGGAGGTGGAGGTGGAGGACGAGGAGGAAAAGGAGGAGAAGGAGGATCGAGTGATGAAGGAGGAGGACGAGGAGAAGGAGGAGGAGGAGGAGGAGGATGAGGAGGAGGAGGAGGGAGGAGGGGGAGGAGCCGTGATCAGCGACGAGGAGAGCCGGGAAGGGGCTGTTGTACATAGATTGTGTGTTCCTGATGTCGCCCTCCTCCGAACAAATTTCATGCACGTTTCGCAAGAGGCAGGAGGGAGGATATTAGTGAGGGAGGGAGGGAGGGAGGGAGGGAGGGAGGGAGGGAGGGAGGGAGGGAGGGAGGAGGGGAGGAGGAGGAGGAGGAGGAGGAGGAGGAGGAGGAGGAGGAGGAGGAGGAGGAGGAGGAAGGGGAGATAGAGAACGGGGAGGGAGGAGAAGGGGGGCGGAATCGGGAGTCCCCCCACGCGGGCCGGGGCGGCGCGGGGGCCTTCCTCTCCTGCTCCCCTGGCAACCCCGCGGCGGGCCGCGGAAGCGGGGGGAGGAGGAAGGTCAGCAGCCAGGAGCAGCCATTTAGGGGGGAGGGACAGGCACAGGGTTAAGTCGGGCATGTCTCTCTAAAGGAGGAATCGTCAAAATATAGTGTCAATAGATAGTATAGGGATGATTGTGCTATTATTTGTTTCTCATGTTTGAGTATGGTTTGGCTAGTTTTACTGTTCTTCCAAATCTGCCTGTAGATGGACATGCCCGACCTGAGCACGGGGGGGGGGAATGCATCGACCCCCAATCGGCCACCGATCGCCGAGAAGGGCCTGACAGCGCCAGCCTGCCCAGGAACGTGCGGATTCACGATCGGGGGCCTGTCGCCGATCTATCGGCGATGCATTGTCGATGCCAGGTCGCCGCGCCCCCCCCTGCGCCCGTCCCCCCCCCCCCCCCCCGAGTGCTGCCCCTCAAGGAGGGCGCGAGGCCAGAGGATGTGCAACAAGATGTAAGATGTGGGGAATCCTGGAATGTGCGTCTGTTTATGTGTGCCCCCCTGGGCCCCCTTCACAGAGCTCACCCCCTCTGAGGCCCCTAGAGGGTCCGCCCACTGGCGCCGCGGCGGCCTCGGCTTCCGTTGGGCGTCTTCCCCGCCGGCATCCATAGTCCGGGGGTGGGGGAGGCAGCCGCGACAAAGGGCTCGATGCACAGGCATGTTTGGAGGCGCGGACTTCTCGGACTTCTCGGATTTGCGCCGACCGGGAAAGCGGGAGGAGAGGGGGACGGAGGAGGAGGAGGAGGAGGAGGAGGAGGAGGAGGAGGAGGAGGAGCCAGAGGCGGAGATCGGCGGCGACGCACTCCTGCAGCTCCTCCCTCCTCTGCCTCCTCCTGTGGTCCTCCTCCTCCTCCTCCTCCTCCTCCTCCTCCTCCTCCTCCTCGGTCGGTCGGTCGGTCGGCCATCGGCGGAGAATAGGTGCCAAGATGGAGCGAATAGAACGACAGCAGACAGCAAAGGCGGACTACAATACTGCAAACACTGCGCAGACCCAACACATAGAGCAGCGTGGGTACAGCCGACAAAGGTGATGAGGCTATGTATGAAGCAAGGAAGTACAAGGAGAACTGGACAAGAAGAGCCTTCCCCATCATCAAAACATTGGCTACTGCTTCAGGCGCAGGCGGGGCGTGCAGGCACCGCCATCCATCAAACTACTGAGAGGAAACGGCCGCGCACCGTGCGGCCTTCTTGAGGGCAGTTTTCTTCATTTCAGAGTCCTTCACCAGAGCTCTGACGCTGCTATTCGGATCTGTTCTGCAACAGTGATGAGGAAACACAGCGCAACACATAATGGTAATAAACGCAACAGAAGCAGACTTGCCGCGGTTGTCACTGCGTCGGCGCACGGAGATCGTGTATCATGCCTTCCGCAATCATGCCACACTCCGTATACGGATCCCATGGGGCCGCAAACCGCTTGAGAGAGCAGGGTGCCCCCCTTCCGTCGTCATTGTATGAGAGATCTCTGGGTATCTTGAGAGTTCGCTCCTCTGACATAGTCCATCGTGGTGGTGGCCTGGGCAAACCAGGCGGTGACATGACTGGTTAGCGGTATTGGCAAACCTCGCGATACTTTGTTCCGACTTCAGATACAATCGCAATGGCGATAGCCTGGCTTAATTGCGGGGGGTATCTTGGATTGGGAGGCGCTCCGCAGCCTGAAATCCTCATTTCTCCCGCCGTGCATATGTTCGTCCGCATGCGTGCATCTACCTCCCCCCAGGCGAGTTTCCACAATCTCACGAAGGGAGGGGCATCTGACAGCAAGCAGCAACGTGGGTTGTTTTGGCACGCCCCCCTAGACATACACAAAAAACAATACGAACCTGGGCCACCTCAGGCAGTTCGAAGCCTGCGCATCTGCGGGAGCAACCAGGGGGAAGGGGCCAAGGGAAGGCTCGCGTCTTGGGCGGGGTGCCCCAGGAGAACGGGGAGTCCCAGGACCCAACACTCGTGGAACAGGCGAACAGTGGCGCGCAGAAGGAGGTTCTCCGAGTGAACCTGCAGGTGTTCGCGCGAGGTCGAGTGTCCAAGACCCTAAGGTTCTTCAAGAGAGCGAAGAGGGCGCGGGGCTCGACGTCTCTCAGGGGCATCAATGGGCAAGGGGAGAAGACCATCTGAATTCCACCCATTGCACGGTGGTCCTGCCACAACAGCCCCGACCCGCCCAGAGCGTAACATAGCTAGCCATAGCTGAACAGCTTCTTCAGAGGCAAGACCACCCAGGGTGGGATGGTGCGCAGCATCAATGCACAACAGATGCTGGTTGGTAGGCGCGCGTGCACACGCTTCGTCCGCAAAGTGTCGGATGTCTCCGGCTTTCCTCATGCCCGAAAATAGGCGAAGCGCAAGTTTGGACTCCCTGACAAGTAAAGGAACAGGCGCGAAGGAGGAGGCACAGGGAACAGGAGAGGGGGGTACGACATCCACTTTCACTTTCTCCAACTTCGCCCGACCTCGCGCGCGTCTGACCCTCGGCACAATCCTTGGCCCTTCACACTGCACAGGTGGGGAGGCAGTGAAGAAGGGAGATCTCCCGATCGATCGGTTGGCCGCGCTGGCTTGCGTGGCCTCCTCCTTGGCTTCGTTAAGTCCACCCTGTGGAATAGGAGGCCTTCCAGAGGCCCAATGCACGCGACGCGACGGGGCGCCGCGCAGATGTCGCGTCAATCTAACAACATTCGAGAAGTCTCGCCGGCACATCTGCACGCAGATCCCGCTGCTAGGGAACGGGGGCCCGCGCATTTGCGATTGCGCCCCGCGCGCGCCCTGGCAGCTTGCTCCGAGAGGGGGCGCCATTGCGCAGGAGAGACATCGGAACGCTGGAGGCTGGTCCTGATCTACTGCCAGCGGGGCCCCCTTCGCCACGAGCCCAGGCTCTCTTTCCCACGCAGGCAAGCGTTGTCCGCCCTCGCTCGCTCTCTTAATTTTGTCAGAAGCACTTCGAACGAGAGAAGAGGAATCCCTGGGACGCAGCTTAACACAAATGAAAACATCCTCAACAGCGTGGGCACAGGGACGCTCCTCGGGACCAATGCAGAAACGTAGTTTGTCAGAATCTCTAGCGACCAAGCTATTCCAAGTGTTTCTGAATGGGGGCGGGAGGCCGATCGAAACACGAATGAGGGGGGAAGCATGGGCAAACGTTCGCATGTGGTGTCGTAGTCGGGGGATGATCATCGCCAGCTTATATGGTCGCCTCCCTCTCTCATAATATACATTGGCCGCTAAATCGCGGGCGTTGGCGCTGCGGGAAGACGCCGGGTTCAATGCGGCCCGATGCGCAGCGACGCGACAGGATTTCATCTTTTGCTCCTGAGCCTCAGCGAGGGGGGGGGGGGCACGCGCAGACTCCACGGAGTACGACCGAGGCGGAGAGCGCCGCGGCATCGGTGACCTTTGCAGACAAAGACGGGGCATCACGGGGCCCAACGGTCGCCTTGATTGGAATTCAGGCAGACCTGGCCTTCATGGCCCGAGCAGCGACCTCGTTGGCCATGCTACCCCGGGCAGCTAACTGCGCCCCCCAAATCGTATGATCCGAGCACGCAGGAAACGAGAAACCCCACTTGGAGGAAGTGGTAACCTCGGTTCGCCCGCGAGAGAAACCCTCGATGCTGCGGGCGCCCTGGCCACGAATAACGCATGCATCCTAAGTGTTCGCGGCGTCTGGGCGATGCCCGTAGGGTGGGCAGGGAACGTATATGATCTCGGAAAGAGCAATCGCCTGGGTGGGCACATTCTTGGCCTGTCAGGCCGTGGCGCCTTGCCCGCATGTAGTCTACGCGTGATGTGTTCAATGTGTAAAACTATGGGCAACGCTTCAAACTCTAGTGCCATCTCCTGTTCCAGTATCCAGTAGAGGCGGTAGCCTGTTGAAGGAACTACATATTTCCTGGAGACCCATGGCTTGGCCTAGCTCCACTTGGCATACATGG